ACATATACAGGTTGGTGGATATATACAGGTCAAGGTGCAGCGTTTGATTCGTAGGTTTTCATTTTGGTAGCGCAGAGTCGGGTGGCGCACTCGGGGCACTGAAACTCGTCCATGGCGGTGAAGTGAGCGTTCAGGCAGTAATAGCAAAAGAGATGCCGACAGCCGGCGTGCGACGGGAGAATCGGCGTGTCGGAGCAGTGAGCGCACTTGGTGGACGAGTTCATGGTCGGGGAGGTTGGCTGCGATTTGGGATCGACAGTGGATCGCGCCTCGAACAGCTTTTTCGCCGCGTGTTTCAGGTAGTGGAAGTTAAGCATGGGCAAGCCGGTGGTGAAGAGTTCCATCAGGCCGTGCCACAGCAGCTCCCTCGTCATGTACGAGTAGCCGATATTCCTCGGCTTGTGAGTGGTCGTGCAGGAGCTGGCGATCCCGAGCGCGTACTCGACGACGCGAGGCTGCGTGCCTCGATGCAGAAAGATCAACAAGTTGACAAACTCGAGGAGGCTGGCGACGTCGGCGACACGGTCGAGCAAGACCGAGCGGCGATTCGCGGTCAGTTTGTCTCGCACGTACGCCGGGGCGATCGTCGCGATCAGGTAGAGAACGGACTTTGCCCACGTGATGTTGGCGTAGCTCAGGTCGAGCAGTTGCTGGCCAAAGGTCGACTTGCCACGACGCAGCGAGTAATTCCATATGAAGTATTTGAGGAGCGCGTCGATCTCCGGTTGCCATCGATCGATCTTCCCCGCAGGCAGATACTTGCCGATCTCCCTCGCTTGGCCCCTCAGCACCTTGTAGATCTCCTCGTCCAGCTGCACCGCGTCGATCTGATTGACTCGGGAGACGTACGGCGACGCCGGCATCCCGCTTATCCCGGTTGCGGATTGTTTGATTGTTTGATTGTTGTTGTTCGGCGAACGACACGAGTAGGAACGTGACGCGTCGCGCGACGCGCAATGGCGCAAGGTCGTGGCCGACGGTCGATCGTGCAAGCGATTATTTTCGTCGCGGCGCGATCGCGTGGTCGGGCGCTCGAGCACGCGCGGCGCGCCTTCAGAGAGCAAAGTGGGCGAACGAGTCGATCCGTACGTACGTACGGTCACAGTCGAGTCGGACGTTTCGCTTATTGTTAGTCGGTGATCACGGGAGAGAGGCTCGGAAGAGAGAAAGAGAGCGGTACGATCGCTCACGAATGCGTATACAGATGCTGGTTGAGAGGTCGCGTTCGAACGATACGATACGATAATCCAGAGACACCGGAGCTCCAAGATCGTGAACGAAGTGAGAAAAACTGGTATCGCGCGCGTGAAGAGAAAAAAAAACGAGTGGCGATACGACGACGACAA